CCCGCCGTTCTTCTCCTGCTTGTTTTGACCCCTTTCCACTCTGCCCACCCAGCACAACAGTCACCCTTGCCAGCATCCGATGACCCCCTCTTTTATGAGTAGCCTGTTGCTCTGAGTGGTTTGTCTGTCCATCTGTGTCCGCCTCCTGCTGCACTTCTTGGCCCCTATGTCGTGCTCCGCTCTTCTCCTGCCACACAGAAAAGAACTTTTGAGTTCGGCACCCCGCACATGTGTATGCAGTAGTGTTGCCTGTTGCTGGGGCTTGCTCGCGGCTGAAGCATCTTCCTGTGGGATAAACAACAGTGCAAGAAGCGTTGCAAGAAGTGTGCGCGAGCAAACTACATGGCCGGCTCTCTTATAAGTCACCTGCTCGTAAGCCGCCTGTCTGTCTTTGTCCGCCTCCCACTGCTGTTCTTCACGGCCGCTTTGTTGTGGTTCCTTCTCAACCTGCCAAGCAGAGAAAGGCCAAGTTCGGCATCCGCCCGCACATGTGCATGGAATGGTCTTGCCTGCTGCTGGGTCTTGCTCTCGGCTGAAGCATCTTCCTGAATGAGAAACGAATCGTGAAAGCTCATAGCTTTCTCACGGTGATGCTCGCCGTTTGTCATGGCCAGAATAGATGGGAACACCCTTTGGCCTTGCTTTTCAGGGCTCTTCAGCTGGTTGTCCTTAAATGAATGGCCACACAACAGCACTGGATGCACCGTGAATCCCTCCTCCTCCAGCATCGACCGAAAGGCAGTCCACCGTCGCTTCACCATCTCTTTGGTGAATCGTTGACTGTTGCAAAGGATGCGAGGACGGTTGGATGACGATGACAATCCACCGGAGCCGCCATGTACACTGATGCAGACAATAGGATGCAGAGCACGGGAACATGAGACACACACACCCTCCTGCTTTGGCCTTCATGCTGACACGATCTACTCTTGCACGCCAAACGCATTCGCTTACTGTCGTTGGAGATGTCCTTGATGGAGATGGAGTCGCCGCTCGCTGAACACAAACATGCGAACAGAACTGATGCAAATAAAAGAGCACAGCGTGGCGAGAGGTTTGATTACTGAGTTCTATGAAGATGTCGCTGAACTTGACGAACAAGGCCCAGCTATCGAACAAACACCAACTGCAGTGAGCTAAAAAACTGTGTTGCCATGACCGCCTTGTGTGTCTTTACCTGGCATTGCAGTCTTTCATGCAGTGGAAGTAGCGCTGCGGTCATGCCTTGCATTGTCACCTAACACACACACACAAGTCCATTGCAACACACATCAGCCATTCAGATCGACCAGCCATCCATCCATCCATCCGTTCACCTGAGGTGTTTGATCCGCATCGGGCGATCGTGGCTCCAACACGGACAAGGGAAGGGGAGGGAGGGAAGGAAGAAGGGAAGGAAGGAAGACATAGAGGTGGATCGGATAGCAGATTGGGTGCAGTGGATCGATGGTGGACCGTCCGCATACTGTGTTGCAGCGAACGACGGAGGGCGGAGAGTTCGAATTGGCCGATGTGGCCGCTGAAGGAGCGGCCCACTATCATGTTGCGTGGCTCCTCAGCCGTGGTGGCCACGGCGTAAGTGACGCCGCCTGAAAGAGGCAATGATACACACACACTACATATGCGCGAGACACGGCTTCCACTGACCGGTGGCGGCTGGGTTTGGTTTTGCTTTCTTGCCGGTCGGCTGGGCGACGCTGAGGTCGTATGGCATGACAATGTTGACCTCGTCATCGGCCATCTTGGCCGGGTCAGTTACAACCTGCAGTAATACATCCAACATTGGGAGACGCCTGTTGGGCTGGTTGGTTCTCACCTGCTCTCCCGGTATCTGTTTGAAAACACACACATGGACCAGCTCGATATCGTGTCGGTGGTGCTGCCTGAGCGGATGCAGCAGGGGCATGGGTGATGTTGGCCATATCGGCGGCGCTGTGAGGAGCCGGCTCGGGGGCTGCATCTGACACCACATGAGGGGCCCCGACATGCGCTCGTGGGGCAGCCCGCCTTCGTCCAGCGGACAAACTGGTTGAAGGCATCTTCCAGCTGGTCGAACACCGCGGGGTTAACTCCCTGGTGCGCTGTTTCATCTGTCTCAGATCGGGGTCATCCTGTCCGCGCGCAAATTTGAACGCCGATCGTGGCAGCCTGTTTGGGGGAGCCTGTACGGAGTTCAATTCGTGTATGAGCGACTTCGGACACATATGATGCCTTGACGTGTGCTGACATGTCCGGCTCCGTCCGTTGGGATGACGTGCACAAACATGCAGAGGTCACACAGAGGTGATCGAATGCGTGCATCTCTCTCCATCGGTAGCAACAGAGACAGCGATACGTCTGCGTGGCAGGCAAACGCACCCAGCCAGCGGCCTGCCCACGACACCACAGAGCTTACAGAGCTTGCTACCTTCCTTGCTTGCTGCCTTGGCACATGCGTACACACATGCAAACACACACATGCAACCCAACCACGCTCCCTACGAGCGTGGTGTGCCGCACCTACCATGCAGCAATGCAAGCTGGCTGGCTCATCGATATGCGAGCTGCTTGTTCAGCTCGTCAGCCCACGGACACCATGGACACTCACATGCAGCAAGCGACACCACACCATACCCCCTGATAAAGGCACTGCACCCACACATGGACATTGACACACACATGCATAGCTACATAAACCAATCACACGACACGTACACACGTACACACATAGAAGCGACAAGTCATTACGGCAAAAAGCGCGCCAGGTAGGAGAGGCAAATCTGTCAGCCACTCTCTCATCCGTCGTCTGCGCGTGCGTGGAGGTGACTATAGGCCGATAGGCCTCCCCGCCCCATGCACCACGCACACACCCATGAAGACTGGAGAGCGTGTAACGATACGACACACACGCTCAGTCAACCATAAACCACCCCGCCCCCCTCCCTCCCTCCCTCTCAGCAAAAAAACTGACATGCAAGTGTGGATGACCCACACATGCACCAGTCCCCCCCTCCCTGTATGCGTGTCGCATTCATTAGGTGCCCATGTATGTGTACCCACGTTACGTAGGCATGTAGATATCTACACTTGTTTCCGCCCTCACGTACGCAGCTGTGTATGTGCGTGTGTGTGTGTATAAAAGCAACCCTGGTCAAAAAGTGAGCCAGTGGGTGTGCATGAATGACATTGTATGGCGACAGTAGTGAGTGGTTGAGCCGCGTGCTAGACCCAATACCGTATCCATCCATGGGTGAGTGTGTATATGCACCAGCGCACGCGGTGCCATATGATCTGTCCACCCCGTCCCGTCCCCGTGACAATATCAACACAAATCCGCCACACCGTCCCCCCCTCCCCGCCATCCGCCGGTGTGTATGTCTGTATGTATGTATGCATTAACAATGGGCACACACCACCCGCATCACATCACCGCCCACGTGTACGTAAAACTGTGACTGAAAAGACCGACAACAGCCCACACGCCAAACAGGCCGAGGAGCAACAAACCCGTTCGTTCCATGTTTGTGAGCATAAGGAGCGAGCAAGCCAGTGTGTGCTGTGCGACAAAAAAATGAGCAAGTCGGCCTGTCCATCGGTCGATGGCAGCCTCCCAACCAGCCAGCGAGTTCCTCACGCGCATGCAGGTGGGGAAAAATCCAGTGAGAGAGACAGAAAGGGGCAGGTCATGTCAACCCAACAGACAGCCAGACACGCGGAGAGGGTGCGAGAGGGAAGGGCGCAGAGAGGCAGCCAGCCGGCCTCTCAGCGACCACAAATACCACGAACGAAAAAGACGTGCAGACGCCCATGGTGGGTAGGTAGGCACGGGCAGCATACAACACCCTCACACACCACTGGGGGGCGGGGACGGGGCGACGGGTGGATCATGGGGTGGGTCATCAAGAAACAAACCGGTACTCGTACGTACGTAACCACACAGATACTCGCGTCACACCTTCTGCACTGGCTGCACTGGCGCCGCGACGGTCGCCGCCTCGTCATGATGGCAGTACCCATTCTCAACCTGCACAGACAGAGCACCAAAGTGCAACCAACATTCTCAGTTGCAGGCAGCCCCATGCATTGCCTGCCACTTCCTCCCCTGTTTTTGCGACTGACTGACCTCATGCAAGCATGTGTGCGGCCTGCCGACGACGATGGCGTTGCCCGAGGGTGATGTGGGGAACCCGGTCGCCCTGCCCTTGCGCTTCAGACAGATGTACACGATGGCGAAGGAGAAGGTGAGGATGAGGACGGACGCGAGAATGCCGACGGCGACGCGGTATCCGGTCAGCTCGCTGCTGATGGCTGGGGGAAGGCCCGACGTCGACTGCTGGTGGGAGTGCTGGTCGAAGGATGCCTCCTCTGAGAGGGGGCTGACTGCGAAACGACTCTCTGTTGGACGACGGCAACACACACACAGGGAGAGAAAGAGGTGGCAGACGGTGTGCGTGGATGTGGCCGTCTGTGTGTGTGTGTGTGTGTGTGTGTACCTTGTGATCGGTCGAATATCTGTCCGTCGCTTTGCTGGTTGGGGTGGCGAAGTTGGTCGTCCCACCTGACACACCGATTGACAAACGGCACACACGAAGAAACATACGGGGGGGAGCGAGGCAAGATGTGACATCGCGCGCCCCAACCTACCCGGTGCAGACGACTCTGTTGATCTCCACCGTTTCATTGACGCACTTGGAATTCCACTCACCTGACACACACACACCCATACACACGACCCGTTTGGTCACTCAGTCGCACCGGGTGCTGTCTGTCTGTCTGTGGTGCGTGTGCCCATGTACATTTCTTGATCGCTTCGTGTCTCATAAGGTGCTCGTTGTTCGGATCGAACTGCATCTCACAGCGAGACACCGGCCGACCTGCACACACATACCGGGCGCTGCACACTCGCCCCCGCCCCCGCCCCCTTTCGCAATCACTCACCGGAGAGGCACACGTAGTAGCAGCTGCCCCTGACGAATGAATCCTCGACCTCACAGTGGCTGAAGAGGTCCTGCTCCTCGCCCATGCCTTTCAGGTCGGTGCACTTGACAATATCGGTCCCGTTTTCGTTGAGCACCTCGCTGCACTGGAGGTCGATGTCCATCATGTAATGGAGAAAGTCGTGTGGACTGGGTCGGCTGTCGATGCAGTGCCCGTAGTAGTCCATGTCCTGGTGCATGTCCGGATCACCCAAACACTCTAAACACACACACACCAACAGACAGGGCAGGCACACAATCACCACAAATGCAGCAACGCTCCCCATCCGGATTCTGTGTACGTGTTGCTTTTGTGCGCCGTCCCGCCCCGCCCTGCTCACGTTTGTCGAGGGGGTTGTCGCTTTCGAACTTGCCGTAGTCGCAGTAGAAGGTCTTGTTGACGAGGGTCTCCACTCCGCTGGCGTTCCTCTCCCCAAGCTCACGCAGCGGGGTCAGTTTGCGCCGCGACAAGGATCCCATGATTTTGTGCACCTCATTGCGCACCAGGCCAGCAGGCACAGATGAGCCACTGCTTTTGATTGTGCACCAGACAGCCGAAAGGGACAAAAGCCACAGAGAGATGGGACGCATTGTGTGTGAGGAATCGGTGACGGAGACTATGCGGTGATGGCGGAAGGTGTGCAGCGGTCTGCAGTCGCGGGATTAGAAGGAATGACGCGAAGTCTCTCGAAGGCGTTGAAGCGAAACGTTGCACGGGGGGAGGACCTTGCAGCCCCGGCTTGGCTCGCATTCCCTTCGGTAACCACGATGAACCACGAGAGTGGGTAGCCCCGCTTCTGAAGCACAACAGGTCGAATGTGATGGAATCCAACACTGAGGAGGCCAGAAACGATGTTGAGAGGGCCGTGCTGCCCGTCAGCGTCAGGGTGTCAGAAAGCAGCCCGCGGGACATCCACCTCCACGTCGAGGAGGTCGCCCAAAGCCCGTCAAGCACGCCCAACCAGCGCACCAGAAGATACCTAAGGGCACTTGGTCAGTCAGCAAACACACCCAAAGAGCCACTGGCGAGAGCAGAGCAGAGCAGACGAGAGATGAATGGATGGATGAGTGGAGGAATGGATGCTCCCTCGGTGGCCGGATGTTCATGTGATGTGTTGTGTTGTGTTGTGTGCCATTTGCTTTCTCTCTCATGCATGACAATGCAGGCCAGTCGGCTGCTCAGTGCATCCGTATGCACCACCCCCTCAGAGGGGCCGGCAACGACCCAGCACACCAACAGCAACAACAGCAGCAACAGCAGCAGCAGAACCAACAACAACAGCAACAGCAGCAGCAGCAGCAGGCGTCCTCCTCAACCGCCCCACCCCATCAGGTGGCATCTTCGTCGCTGCACCCGCCGGTTCTGAACCAGCATGACAGCGGTTTCCATCAGCGTGTGCAGTACGGCTTCCAACGGGTCCTGTGGTACATCGACTGCTTCTGCTGCGTCTGCAGAGGGATCCCGCCACTCGCAGGTGGGAATGAATGGACTCAATGAATGAAGTGGGGGACTCATCACATCCGGCCATGGGGTTCTTTCTTTGTCCCTCTGCGGGCGTGGCGTGGCGTGTGTGCTGCAGAGACTGACGAGGCGACTGTGCTGCGGATCATCGCCATGCTCGTGATAGAGTTCTCGCGAGGTGAGAAAGCAGATTCACTGGGGTGTGCGGGTGTGGTTGGAATCTCATCTCATGTGTGTCGTGTTGTGTTGATGGAATTGATGTGTGCTGTGCAGGTGCTGAGGGCGTGACGCTGGCCGATGTGATGCTGGGCATCTCCATCCTGAGGGCCAGACAGAAGGTGAGGTGCCCACACACATCACACATATCACCCACACACACATGCAGTGCATCTGATGTGTGTGGGTGCTTTTGTTTCTCAGCAACAGCAGCTGCTGTCCCTGCAGTCGCCCCCCGGCCAGTCGCCCATACCGTCACGGCACATGTACCGGCGGCTTCGCAATCGCCTCCGCGTGCGGCACCACAGACGGCCACAACAGCAACGCACAAGTGCTGCTGCGTAAGCACCACACCGAACCGCACCACCCACTTCACCCACACATCGACCATCGCCCCCATCGACCTCTACTCTCTCTGCATTGCATTCGTTCAGCGCTCCTGTGCCGACCCGTCCCCCGAACTACTCGTTCCGTCCCAAGAGGGCCCAGCGGTCGCCGCTCTCCCCTCCAACCATCCAGTCGCCCTTTGACACCACATACGGCGGCAGGGCCGTCACGGCACCCGCAGTGGCTGCTGGCGGTGGCGGTGGTGGTGGTGGTGGTGGTCAGAATGAGCCTATTGAGAGGCGTGGTGGTGGCCGTGTGTGGGGTGTGGGTGAGTTGAAGGTCACGCGGGTGCCTGTGGAGGACTTGTCGTTCGCTGTAGCATATTTTGCACACTTCATGGTGAGTGAGTGAGTGAGCTGGTGGGGGGGATGGGATGTTGGCCGGTCGGTCGGTACGTATGTGTGTGTATGTGTGTGTGTGTATGTGTGTGTGTGTGTGTGTGCAGATGGCGTCGTACGGGTGGCGTCTGTATCAGCTGCTGTATCCCTTCACGGGATGCATTCAGGTATGTAACGTAGCCCTTTCACACAGACCCTCCCCCTACCCCACACACACATGCGCCCCATTCGTGTGTGTGTGTGCAGACGTGGTGGTGGTGGTCGGTGCGGTGCATGTCCCGGCGGTCCACATACGAGGCTGCCTTCCTCAAAGTCGCCGGTGGGTGTGCTGTGCTGTGCTGTGCTGGTGCCACCACCGGGACGGGGATGTGATGTGCACACATGTTGAGTTAGCTGTGTGGTTCTATGTGTGTGTGTGTGTAGGTATCCCCGCGGAGGACCTGATAGTGTCGTGTGTGGCGTCACAGCCCTTCAAACCGTCACACTTCCTCTGCATCGACAGGTCAGGTGAACACACTGACTGCAATGACCACACCGACACCCACATCACCTATGCCTGTGTCTGTTTGAGTGGGTGACATACAGGCGTTCCCAGTCGGTGGTGTTGGTGGTGAGGGGGTCGCTGGAGACGACAGACATCATCACCGACGCCGTCTGCACCAACGCACCCTTCCAGGTACGGTGGCCACGCGCTCACACACACACACACACAGGCACAGGCCTTGTATCGCAGCTACTGTGTTGTGTGTGTCAGAACGGCTATGCCCACGCCGGCATCCTTGCCGGCGCAGAGTGGGTGCTGGCAAAGGTACCCAGACACACACGTTGATCAGATCGGATCAACATGTGAATGTGATCTGATCTGATCTGCCATGGGTGGGTCAGACTGAGCGTCACATCGACCGCTGTTTTAACCTTCACCCGCACTATCGGCTCATCGTCGTCGGCCACTCGCTCGGCGCCGGCGTGGCCACGCTGCTCGGATGCCTTCTGGAGGTGCGCTCCGCTCTCTGTGCTGTCTTTGTGTGTGTGTGTTTTGATGGTGGGAACAGACAGTGGATGCGTGTGTGTTCAGCCGCGGTACCCCGGTTTACACGTCTTCGCCTACGCGCCGCCCCACTTGGTCGATGTGGAGACCGCACAGTCACTTGTGCCAATGGTGAGCATGGCATGTTGATCTGTTGGCTAGGCTAGACTGGGCATCCTCTGTGTCTGCGTGTGTGGGTGTAGGTGACGACAGTAGCCTTCGGTAAAGATTTGGTGTGCCACATGTCGCTGCGGTCGATGCTCAAGCTGAGGAACGCCATCGTGCGGGCCGCCGTGGGCAGGGAACAGGCCCAGACACCCACAGGCACACAGCAGGTATGCCCCCCCACCCCCTGCCCCCATGCACACACAAGTATGTTTCTATGTGTCTGTCTGTGTCTGTCTGTGTGCCGGAACGCAGGTCTCTCTTGTATCGTCTATCGAGCCAAAGGCATCAGCATCAGCATCAGCATCAGCATCAGCAGCAGCAGCACCAGCCACCAACGGCAGCAGTGCCGCCCAGCCACCGGCACAACCAACACAGCCTCACTCCCAGCCACCAGGGCCCGTCACGGCGGCATCGGGCAAGCGAGCCAACAGACTCTGGCTGCTCCTTAAGTGAGTGAATCAGCCACGCACATACCCATCCATCCATCCATCCACCCTTGTTTGTGGTCCCCACCCTTGTGTGTGTGTGTGGTGTGGTCTGTCAGGGTGCCGTTCATATCTCACCAGACGTTGCTGCTGGAGGCGGAGAAGGCCGGTCTCAACGTGGAGGCCTCACACAGTTTCTCGTCTCACGCACCGTCACTCGTGCCGCACTACCCCGTCGGCAACGTCGGCAGCCCCCCTGTCTACTCCACGGTAGGCACTCACGCGCACACACATGTGTGCAGGATGGGATGGCCAGTCGCGTTATAAGGATGCATCCTCATGTGTGTGTGGGGATGGATGGATGGATGGCTGGATGGATGTCTTGCAGTCGTTCGATGCTGGCGAGCTGGCCACATCGCCTGTGGACATCAGTGGCACCATCCCCCACTACGGCAGCGCTGCCCAGCGGCCGACACACCCACATCCACACCCACACGCAGCGCAGAGGCTCTCACCTGCAGGCAACAGCGCAGGTAGGAGGTGTGGTGTGGTGCGGTACACACAGAATCGTTAGTTATCCGTTTGCCCGTTGTGTTTGTTCAGGTGTGGTGAAGGTAGAGAGTATGACGCCCATGACCACCACTGCCCACAGCCCCCTCCCGTTGATGCCCACGTCAGGGGCGCCGTCGTCGCAGCACCACCACCAGCCACTGCCGACCGTCACAGAGAGTGAGATGAGTGGCAGCGACAGCAGCATGCAGCTCGTCGCCAAGGCAGACACCAACACAGCCACAGCCACAGCTACAGCCACGGCGGGAGCAGCAGAAGCAGAAGCAGCAGCAGGCAGTGCAGTGGGCAGCACAACTGATGCCACTGCAGGTGCAGCTGGTGGTGCTGCTAGTGGTGCTGGCGGGGCTGGAGAGGCGACAACCGGCAACAACCACGCCACCACCAGCACAGGTATGTTGTCAAACCTCTGTCTGTTTCTGCCCACGCCGTATTGTCAGTATCTGTGTGTTGTGTGAGTGCAGATGCCGGGGCGCCCCCCTCCCCCCGGCCTCTGCCCGAGTTGGCGCCTCTGGGCGGCGCTGGCGTCGAGGTCGAGACCACCCACCCCGCCATGGCCATGGAGGGGGCTGTTTCTGCATCTGGGGGTGGCTTGCTGGGCGGTGAAGGTATGGGCGACTCGTTCCAGATGCTAGTAGAGGACCCCTCGACGCTGGCGGAGTCGTTGTTCCTCCCGGGGTGGATATTCCACATAGCTGAAGTGAGCAAGCTGAACCCTCACGTGTCGGCCGAGGTCACGGAAGACCTCCAGCCCACCTCATGCATACTCGGTAACGATCCCCCCCCCCCCCCCCCCCCCCCCCCCCCCACC